CAGGAGCAGGAGTAGCAGCAGCAGCACATGTCGTCGTTGATGCTAGTAGTTGGAGTAGTTGGAGTAGGAGCGTGAGCAGCAGAATCAGCAGTCGCTATCTTCGGGACGATGGCGGGCAGTATCATCGAGGTCGCCATCGCCGTGGAAGGGGGAGTAGCAGTAGCAGTATACAGCAGCAACAGCAGCAGCAGCAAACGAAGCAGAGTGTCAGTGGTCAAAAGGTGTAAAACACACTCGCAGTTTGCAGACAACTCGTGGGCTCTGCAGATGCCAGCTCCCATACAAGCTGAGTTCAGTGCCATTTTGATTGTTTTATCGTCCCAGTGCAGTGGGCACAACCGGTATAGCAAAGAATCCTCGAAGGAGTTCTTTTTCTGAACGCTTGCCTTGGAACAAGCTGCAGCTCTTCGCATGCAAGTTGAGATGTGATCGGCAACTCGGATTCACAGCCGCTTGCAGTGCGTCGTGGATGCTACGAGGCTCTTTCCAGCCATAAAAGCTCCACCAGAACCGGGAGCTGTGGGCGACTGGTTGGCCTGTGCCTTTTCCGCAGGTTTCTGGATGCCCATGATTGCGGCCATGGGGCAAGTACCTTGGAATGGAGACTCGGCAGCAACACATTGCAGGGTTACAGATTCCGCCCACCTCCGATCCCCCAAATGGTGCCCGTCGCGTGAATCCAATGAACTTTCCCGGCTTTCAAAACGCATCGACGCATCTCCAAGCTACCTTGCTTCCCGGAGATTGGGCACCGATCGCCGTCGCCCTGCGCTTCTGAAGTCTTGGCCGCCGCTTCGGGAGCTTTCGCCTCCTCCTTGCCAGCTGGTCGCTTCCGCAGCCCCTCTGCAACGGCTTCATCAGCAGCCGAGGCAGCCAGCTGTCCTGCCGAGCCAGGCCGGCAAAAGTTGCCAATCTAGTCAATTGGACACCGAGTCAGCAAAGATAAAAGAAGAAACAGATCAGCTGTTAAACTGTTGCGAAGTAAAAGCGCGCGCTCAAACAGAAACTCACTGACATCTGTCACATGTTGGCCTTTCCCATCCCATGCAGGGTCTTCACATACCACTCCCCTCCGTGCGGCCAGCACGCACCTGTAACCGGCTGCTGTGAACAACATGCGGCCAAGCCTTCCAAAGTGACTGAGAACAAGAGATTTGGGGCAGCATTTCGACTCGCACTCTCGCACACGGCAGGCAAGGCTCCCCATCGCTTAAGCAACAGAGGCAACGACAGCCCTGGGCAGTTTACAGCATCACTTTCGACACCCCTTGCAGCAGTAGCTTAGAATCTCAGAAGATGACCTTGCTTCATCGTCACACAGGCAGGCCAACAGTTCCAAAAGTATGAGGTCGCTTCTTTGCACTGGGAACTTCCTATGACGAATCCACCCAATCCCCACTCTCCGACTCCGTCCTGCAACAGGATACTTCTCCTTCAGCCGTTGCCGCCACTGAGTGAGGGCTTCTTCGTCGTCTGCGCAGTCCGGAGCCCACCTTCAGTCAGCATGGAGGTAAGCACGCACATGCACATGACACACACACAGACACACATGCACGCAACGTATCAGTCACAACGTCTCCCTTCCCTTCTCTCTACCGCCTCAAATCGTCCAAATGCTCTGGCTCGAGAGACATCGTTGCGAGGCATCTTGTCACGTCGTGACCGGCCAGCACCTGACCGCAGCAATACAAGGATGTCACGGTTGTGCGGCAGATGCAGTTCTGCAAAAACGCAGAAAAACGCATGCAGCCCAGTTTCTGAGTACCCGCCACCCGGCCCATACATCCTCATGAAACGACAAAACCGCAGCGTTCAGAGAAGGCGCATCCCGACCAGTGCACGTACATTTGGGCCGGGCGGCTCTCGGCCAGAACTGACGTCGAGCAGCTCTCCCGCAAGGCCGATGAGAATTCGTCCTTCGGCCTCGCCGGTGTACTTCCCCAGCTCCTGGCGGACAAGTCGGAGGCAAGAAAAGCAGGTCACGCGGAAAGCAAAGGTGCGGAGATGTGTGGAGTCTCTGAAGTCCTGGAGGCTCAGCGTCAACTGCTCTTTGCAGGGCGCCGGCAGTTCGCCGGCTTCCGAGCCCTCCTTTGAAGTCTTGTAGCTGACGCCGCTTGCTGGGTTCATCTCGAAAATCTCTGTCATCATGGCTTCCGTGTCGGCATAAATACGCTTCATGGACTGCAGCATCCGTCGTCGCACATCCTCATCGATCTGCAGCTGGTCGAATGCCCTCAAGTACTCTTGCACTCGCGCTGGCTCTTTGCCAGGCTGCACCCCTTCAAAGTGGTAGAATTTCACGCCCGGGGCGCCGTGCGGAACACACAGCTTCTGTGAAACCATCTCTCCCAAGTAAGCACCACCACTGAGTACTGCCTGCGTGGGGCAGGTGTTTCACACAGTTCAGTACAGGGCACTGCCTGCCTACAGTAGCAGCTTGCAAGCGATTCAATCCAACGCTTTAAGCGCCAAGAAGCATTGTACTGCAGGAAGTGATGTGACAGCAGCAAGTACGGGTCAGCCGCGTCCACTTCAAAGCCTGCGCCGGCGGTTTCACTCGATGCTCGACGCCACACTATCTTATGCGGAAAACTAGGAGTCGAAGCTCCAGAGCTGCAGGCCTTTCAAATACTGCTTCGCAGCAGAAGACGCCGAGCAGATCCCTGCTGATTCCTGGCCGTGACTGCTGAGGCTGCTGAGGTTCAAAGCTCAGCCTGAACAAACCCATGGCACAGAGCAATCATTAGAACACCCCCTGAAACTCCTTAAACCATACATCATTGTGCACTTTCAGCCCCCAACAAAGTGTCGACCGAACTTGGCTGGGTGCTCCTCACTCCAGTCTGGGCCCATGAGTCGAGCCAAGTCTGCCTGTGCAGCTCAAAGACAGGTCAGGGCATCAGATCACCCAAGGATCTGTCAAACTCTCCAAGACAGGCCAGGATGCCTCTAACTTCTGGGTCCGCGCGAGCGCATCATCATGAACCGCGCCTCGGCGCGTCCATTCATGTTCACTGGAATTGTTGCGCGGATTACTTCCTGAGGGGTAGCTCCCACAACTGGACGAGCGGATGAGGGATCTTTGGATTCTTGGACTCTTGAGCAGTGCGTGCTCAGCCTGGCCTTGAACACTGAAGTCAAACAACACAATAGTCCGAACCCGACGCCCTACATAGAAGCCATTGTACTCTATTCGATTATGTTCTCTTCTATTGTGCCATATTACGATATTCTATTCTATTCTACTGTGTCGTATTGCATTAGCAGAGCCTGATCAGCCGAAGCTGCGAATCGGCTCCGCCGAAGGATCGAATTTCGCCTCCATGGCCTCGGCCAAATCACAGCACAGTAGAGTACAGCATAATACGACATGACTATGATATAGCCAGCTATGGTATATTATCTATGATGTAACTATGCTAGAATTATGATTTAACTGAATAACTACATAACATAAAATACAACCGCGCATGGATTCTGTATTTCTGCACATGCAGCAGCAACTGGGGCTGTGTTTCGAAGGTGCTGGCCTGGAAGACCTTGTGGTTCAATGCCAACCACGCTGCGTACTGCTTCAAGCTGAAGCTCTGCTTGTAAATCATCTGCATCCTTTGTTCGGGACATTACATGTGCAGCTTTCTGTCAGCCAGATGCAGCGCCTGTACACATTTCGGAGGCAGCTAACGTAGTGGCAAACGGGCCGGCTGTTGTACAGAAGTCTAACGTGGTCTGGAAGAGTGTGATTTTGGACAGTATCAGCAGGCAGTCTAAGCACCATGGGTGATCCATGGACTTGTCGTGCTCCAACAAGGTCTTCTGGAGGAACCACTTTGAGTGCCCGTCAGATCCTGAGCTTGAACACGCTTAACTAAGACCAGCAAGCCGAGAAAACAGAAGAAGCCGCTGAGTTTGACTGCAGGGTCGGCCGAATCCAGGCACCGGGATGCTTGCAGCTGTGGTGCTGGACAGGACCCCATATTTGCTCATGTCAATCTCCGGTCGGCCCAGGTCTCAGCTGCCGAGTGGGCAAAGCCTGAGGAACATGAACAGATGTACTCGGCTTGGCCGCTTCAGGCTTTGCGAGCTTCAGCACTGGCAATGATCATTGCCTGGCAATCAGACACACGGCCTTGGAGTTGAAGCATTAGGTATGTTCCGCCGGGTGGCAAATAAGTCCACGAGGGTGTGACAACACGAGCTCGAGCAAAAGCTGCAAGACCAGACATGCAGGAAGCCTTTATCCATCCGTCATCTCCGACGCTTCTTGCGAGCGACAGTGTCACTACGTCGATTGGCACCGAGGCCCAGGCCGAACTGGTTCCTGGATGCACCAACGACAGTCCGTCAACGACTTTGGAGGGAATCGTTGGAATGCCACCTGAGCCGGACTGCAAGTTAACCCGCTTTGCATGCACGGTGCACAAGCTCCATCACATCAAGGACCAGGCTTGCGAACACGGTCTTTCTGCCGACTTCTTCCCCCGGCCTTCTTGATTCGCCATCACAGCAGAAACTGAAACAGGCTTAGCCCAGTAAATGCTGCCTCCTTATCAGACTAATGACCGGATGACGAGAAGCTACATTAAACGGGCCCTCTGCGAGGAGCTTGCGGGATGAGAGACAGTCAACTCGGCCTGCCTTGGTGCCAAAATGGAGCGTGCCATCTTCAGGGGAACGGAGTGCTCCACCCAACTGCCGGAAAGTGACATCTCACCTCGGGGAGATCTCGTTACATGGCAGGAAACAGGCATAAAAAGGGTATCCCCGAACCGAGGTTGCAAATACCTCCGACGACCTGTGCAACAGGACGACACCAATCAACGAAAGGCCAAGAGATGTTATCTGCGCAAGGCAGAACCCTTCAGCCAGAACTTGCAGCTGCTGCCAACCGTCTGAACGCCTCCGATGCAACCATGACACTGGTCGAACGTCCCGGTCCCGGCATAAACGGCTTGGTCGGGCTGGCAGGCCAGTTCGGACTGGAAGGTAGAGTAGAACCTGAGGCAACCAGAAAAAACATGAGCACCAGACACCAAAATGCAAAATGCAAGCATGTTGCATCCAAACAGGCGGTGGCCAGCGAGAGGAGGCCAGAACGTTGGCTTAGCTTGGCCCCCGGACTGATTTGTGTCCATCGGCCGAGGTAGCCGGTCCTTAGATCTTGGACCAATGCTGCAGACTTGCCTTTACACTGCACAGCCATGGCATGAATGGCGGCAGTATAACTTGCTGACCGAGTTCGGGCTCCGCTGCTCCTCCTGACATCTGCCGAAGAGCAGCCAAATCCATCTTGGTTGATCTCGATGTATGAAAAACTGCTTCACTCTGGCTTACTTGTCTCAGCTTCCACAGAGCCTCAGTGCCTGGCCCCAGCGCGCCAGGATCCTCCAAATGTCCGGGTCTGCAGCGGCGCAATGATCGTCATTGGAACAACTCGGGCTTGTCCACTGGAAAGCTCCCGTCTCGAGGCTCTGACTTCTCAGGCGACTCGTGAAAAAAGAAATGCTTCTTCAGCAGCTTCTCCCGCACCGTCCTGAGAACATCACTGGCGGAGAACTCTGCATCTTGCTATGACTGCTACGGTTAGGCCACGACGTGACAAGCTCGGAGGTAGCCGGCACATTGCAACACCATGCTGGTAAACACCAACACACTGATGACGAATTCCCTCTTGCGAACTCGTCAGTTCAACTTCTGGAACATTTGCAACAATGTATGGAAAAGAAAACTTCAGAAAAACCATCTCAATGTAACTTCTCATTGCATGTGCCCGTTTGCCTCGCCGCCCGGCTGGCATCGGCGTGCGAAGCCACCAGCCAACTGCAATCGTTGGATGGTTTCGTGCACTTTTCTTCGATCCCTTTGCACGGGCCTCTTGAACTTGAGCGCAGTATCAATGTGAGCGATGATCATGTACACCTGCGGGGCTCACAAATTCTCTAGTTGCGCTCGGGGCACTGTTAACATGTTTCCTTAGCGTGCTTTTAATTCATGTGCCAGCCACCAATGCCTTGATTCCGCGCACCTTTTCACCTCCACTCCAGGCTGAAACGGCTGTAATTCCGCATGCGCAGAGAGGCAATTATGGTCCTCCCATATTCAGCTAGCGGCTAGCGGCACGGAGGGGCGAGTTTGCCAGGCCTGAAACCACCACTCCCACTGGTCGAGGTTTGGTACTTCGAAAGGCTCCCCGTCACTCTCACTCTGCAAGAACATCTCTTCGCTAAACTCATGGCCAATGAAGGATATGATTGCGGACTGGACCGCCAAAGGCAAACTTGGCTTTGATATCCCGTCCAGTATTCGCCTCAGAACGAGCCACGGTGGCCACTTACGTGAGGAAGCCCAGAGTGTCCAAATCGCAGAATGTGCCGCAAAGTGGCGTGGGCGTACCAGGCAAACACAATTGAACCCGGAGGTCACCCCAGAGCCGCAGCAGCGTTCAATGCAGGTGTATGGCCTGCCCGGGGTCGTGGTGGATGCTATTTCATGAAGGTACTCGAGGATGGGCTTCTCGTGGTACTTGCGCGGGTCGAGATTCAGTTGCCGCGCACGCAGTATGAACCGCTCGGCAAGGAGCCCACGCCACTTTACGAAAGGTGAGATCTCTGGCATTGGAAAGCGGAGAACACCAATGACATGTCGGTGCTTGTAGATGTTGCCGCCCCACACACTAAAGCTTTGCACTTTGCCACTGTCGTTCAAGTAGGTGTCATAGTTGTAGGGGATGCTCCGTTTCTCTAAGCGCCAAGCGGCAAGTGCTAAAGGTGCCTCGTGCGTGTCATACCCATCCTGCACAAGGCAAACATTGCCACCCTCGTCCATCAGAGCATTAATCATCACCACCGAATGCGAGTGGCGGCGCAAGCGTATCTGATCACCTTCGTCTAGGGGATCTAGGCTGACATCACCAAGCGCTTGAAGGGCAATGCTTGAAAACACTGCGCAAGCAACCTCGGCTGGCTCCATGCATTCGGCTAGACATCGCCAGCGAATCTCTTGCTTCACGGTGTCATTCATGTCTTCGTACTCCATCGCTTGGAGCTGCAGCTGCTCGACAGGGACCATGCTACCACAAGGTAGCTGCCCAGGATCCGGCATCGGCAGTGTTGGGAGCTGGGTAACAGCCCACTGGGCGGAAGCTACGCTTCCTTTCTTGGCCTTGCCAACTGGCGCCATTCTATCCTCTACCCAATGCAGAGTGACGCAGCAGTTTCTTCTTGGCAGCGGTCTGGAGCCATGGGAGAGTCGTCACTCTTCATGCGGCACTGTTGGCAGTACCTAGCCATGTAACCATTTATGCATACAATGACAATAACCCGCAGAGTGTTGAGCCGGGAGACTTCCGTCCCAAGGTACAAGCAACACAACGCTAACATCTTGCTTCCTGTGGCTGCTCCACTTCAGACATTTTGCTTATGTTTGGACATGAAACCCTGCGGCTGCCAACACATCAGCAAGCCTAGGTAGCAACTAGAGCGCGGGCAGGCTGTAATTTACAGTGAATCTTCGGGCATGTCATGTGAACTCGCCTGCTTCTACCAGTATGGGCTCAGCGCCATGTACCCCGACTGTCTGTTCGAACATGTCGTTTGACGTGGGGCCAACTAAGAAGTTTTCTCCTTGACTCGTTCTTCGGGATATAGCCGAGACTTGCCTTCACGACAAACAACAGGAAGTCCCACAATGCGCTCACCAGAACGAGGACGCTGCGCCTGAGATATGATTCGATAATGGTTCGACCCTGTCCAGCAACCGAAGATGTCAGGCATGCTACGTTCTTGCATGCTTCATCAACTGTTAGCCCAGGTGCTTCAGCGAAACAAACATGTAGACCTGCGGGGCACGCCGGAGGATGGACTGGGTGGAGGCAAAAGCTGACCGATTCGCACCTACGAGCCCTTGCAAGAACCGAACGCTGGGCGTGATCTGTATCGGGGTGTACAGTGCTGGGCAAAGAAACTGTGGCTAGCCGAACCCATCCTTCCCGGACGAAAACAGTCAGGTATTGTCAGGTGGTTGCTTGCTACGTCTCGAGCCCGCGCCTCCCTACCTGGTGTAGCCCAACTACATTCAACAACCTGACATAAGCTGAGGCAGAACGTGAGGACAATCGATGATCAGTGCCTTCATCGCCATGCAGGGCAGCTTTACAAGTGCCAAATTCGGCAGTTGGGTGAGGATGCCTACCTGGCCGCACGTTCAACTTCAGACCGCAACATCAGCCAAGGATTACCAGTGAGCCACACAAGCCAATCAACTGTGCAAGCTTTGAGGCTGCGACAGTCTCCTCAAACTGGAACATTACCTGCACCGATGCGGGGTCGCTTGAACCCTGGTATCAACCTCTTGTAATTCTTGTACTCCATGATTATGGGCAGGTGCGGTGTAGTCACAGCGAGTTCTTGCCCTGATCCGGGTGTTGTGGCGAGGTGTCTCCCAGCATCTATGCACTTTTCTTCGTTGAACGCTCGGCCGGGGTAGCATGTTGCGAGTCTTTCATGCCTTGCCTGTGCTATCGGAATGGATGCCTTGCAGCACATTACATCACATTACCCCCGGCCTTGTTGACGTAGCCTAGGGCAAAAACTCGAGGGACCTTGCCACGATGGCTTAGCCTTGGCAGCTTGATTCACAAGGCCAAGCAAGCACCACTTCGTCTGCAGTAACAAGAGGCTTTGAACATGAAGGTCCAATTGCGACGGCTCCTGTTCCCGTGTCTCCCTCACGCAGCTTTGGCTTCGTCCAGCTTCAGTTCATAGCCGAGACAGGCCACCACTATTGAGTAGACCGCAACACGACTACAAACCACGTTTGTAAAGCGGCAAGTGCACGTTCGCGCTGTCCTGCCTGAAAGGAAAACGATCATCCGACCGAGATTGGCCGCGTAGACAATTTTTACGCAGCAGGTACTGCAGCCATGCGATGCTTGCGGTACACTTCGAGGGTAAACTTGCCTAAAGGCCGTTCTCTCCAAGCGTTAATTCGCTGCTGGTGGCTGGGGGAAAAACTTTCCAGCTTCATCTCTGGAATTAGACCGCCCGTATATTCCGGCGGCAACACAGCTGGCGCAAACAGCGCTGCGAGTGCCACAGCAGAGGCTGTCAGCTGGTCCGGATTCGAAGCCTTGAAACAAGATCCAGGCTTAGCCAGCTCGGTCTCCAGCTTCACAATTCCGTCCTCTAAGTCCTGGAGGCCCTCCCAGGGATGAGAGATGCTGGATACACTACTACCCTGGTAGCAGAACTTTCCTTCATGCCCTGGATGCCTTGGCTTGGCGCTCTGCATCACCCACCATCTGGTCCCACATTTTGCCAGCCACCTGTTCGGCTCCATGGTTTCATCATTTCATGGAGGGAGGGGGCTGACGCAGATGTTTCCCAGGTTGTTCAAAACAAAGGGACATGTCGGTTCCTTACACTTTGCAGTAGGTGAATCGACATTGCGTGAGGCATGAGGCGTGAACCCAAGAAGAATTGACTTCTCGCGGATGCGCTACGAACAGTAACAAAGAACGTAAAGTTGTGTTAGAGAGTGACTCCAAGCCACTGTGCGGCGAAAGCCGCTGATGCCCCAAAGGAAATGCTGCCACCAGGAAACCGGTGCAGTCTTGCCAAACTCGTAAAAAGTGCTGTCCTGTTCATCCTTCAGGAGGTCTGCATAGGTGACGCTGCGAGTTCGTGGGCCAATCACATAGTTGAGAGTCTGAAACACATCCTCAGGTACATCTCCAAGACCCGTGAGCTTCAGCACCTGCCAAGAATCGTCAAAGACTTCACCCGAGCCGGTCACATAGAGCGGGGTGCCGCTGCCCTTTCCTGTGCCAGCCTCGCGCGCACGCTTCCGAATTCGCTCCACGGGGCTAAAGAACATGTGGAGGCCTGGCAAGTACGGGTACTCAGTGAAGGGGATCCTTGGTGTCAGAAATGCCGAAATCTGTGGCAATCCGAAGACACTTAACTACCGGCACTGCTGAGCTATCGCTGGGTACATGCTGAGTAGTATGTGCACTACACTGGTACCAAAATGCCACCTTCTGTCGTTTGCGCGAAAATGGGTGGTGGTCTAAGAGTCTAGTTTACAGCAAGATCGATTTGAATGGGGGATGTTGGCAAGCATTATCGAATCTTGCTAGATCCCCTGACGTGGACTCGACACTACACAAAACACCAAACATCCTCTAGCTCCTTTCAAGCATCTTTGCAATATGCAGGGACCACCGGGCCAGCTCGCAGTAGTGTGAGAACGGGATTGTGTAAAGCTCCCCTGGGTTGGCCATTGCTGCGCGGACTAAGGGTGAATCTGCCACTTCGTCCGACGGGATACCCTGAGCCTCGTGGTCTACGATGTGCCGGACAGTGTTATTAACAAGCTTCACCCAGCAGCGTGGAGACTGCAGCTAAGGCTGCTTCGCGGCGTATCGCATGGCACCCTTTCGAGGGTGGCACAACCTCACCATGTGACAAAACACATCGACCGCGGTAAGATCAGTCAAGGAATGGCGGAGCAGTGCGAGACGAGCCCGAGACTGAACAACGTCCGTCACTAAGTACGGGATCGAGAACCTTAGGGATCGGCAGGGCTGCGCACCAAATCCAGGATTACGTCAGCATGTGTCCGCTAACGCAAGTTGCTGGATGCTTGTGCATGGTGCCTAGCTGTTTGGACATTTCACCGTGGTGCTACGGAGGTACACCGGGCATGCATTGTATCCGCGGGAACATCTGCTACCTTGCCTGCACCCACCCAGTATAAGCATCCATCACCTGGGGCATGTTCGCCGGGTATGCACCGAGCATCTGCCGAACGTGGCATGTGTCAGAGAGCATGCTGCACTGAATGCATGGATCATCGCAGGGCGCTGTCCCAACCGTACGTTCTAGCAATGTAGTTGGCATCGTTGAGAGTTGGCATCGTTGAGACTTGGTCTGGGAGCTGTCTGGAAGGAATGTTGCGACAACGTGGCTGACATTTTCGTTGCGCCGGCGAGGCAAAAAATCGAGCGGTTCTTTACAACGGTTGGGAACCCTGCAGGGCACCACAAAATCATGCCCAGCGCCAAGACATGCAGCCGGGTCCGACATTGCACAATGGCACGTCTCGGCATTTTGACATGCAGCTTGCAGAGAGCTGAGCAGCAAGAAACTAGGGGAACAAAGTGGAACAGAATGCATGGCATGGTGTTAGAGAAGCTGCACAAACAAAGTCGGCAGCCGGCAAACGCAATTCAGTCAACGTGGTCTCCGAACTCAGGCTGCGACAACTGCATGTAAGCGAGTGAGATTCGCATCGCCAAGTTAGAAGCCTTGCTAGCGGCGATGAAGATGTCGGTTACTTGCAACTTGCAACTCGCACTCTGCATGGCCCAGGGCAAGATTGAGCACTTTCAGGTGCAGACGGCTGCATAAGACAACCTCCAGGCCCTGACTCACAGCCTCACAACGCCTCACAGTTGAAATCTCAAGTGAAAAACCCTGAACCCGAAATCATTCCGGGAATTCGGAATCGGGCTCTTGCCGCACTTTTTCCAGCAGCTCCCTTTGCTTCGCTGCTCCGCCAGATCCCCGTGTCCTGAAGCTCCGAATCCTCGACCTCCAACCTGGCACGCATGCGATCATAGAATGGTTGCAATAAAATGTGCTGACTGACAAGGTCACCGCTGATTTGCGGATTGTGCAACGGCTGCTCTATGCAAAAAACGTGTTCGCCTGAGTAAACCTGTGATCATGTCATCACATCCAACCATACAATCAATCGGGAAGCTGGTTCCGGTGGCCCTTTCGCGCTGACGTGTCAGATGCCCCCTGCCACGACTCAGTCCGCAGCCTCTGTGAGCCTTGGCCTTGGCCATCACCACTTTCTTGTTCTGCAGGCCTCCAATAAGAGCCTCCAGCGGGCAGAGGATAGGAAATTCGTTGAATCGACCGAACGAGACACAGGCACTGTGCGCACGCACGCCTCTTTATTAGTGAGGTTGGAGATGTGGCTACACCGACATCAACAACAGCTGAATTCGGTCGTGACACTGCCTCGTCTTGATCCCCGGCCGAAATTGCACGCGACGAAAGGTCGAGGCAGATCACCCGCGATTATGCATCGCTTTCGACTGCTGACTCTTCACCTGCGCAAATCCACCATTTGGCTGGGAGTCCACCGACATCTTCTTCGCGCACGCAGGACAGATGCGGATGTGCCTAGGCCACGGAAGCATGCTCTACGTCCACGTGTTCTATGTTGTCACCATGCCGAGAACAGAAGCCTTGCAGTTAGTGTCAAGCTGCTCCGCTGCACCGACAATAGTTCTGGTGCCCATACCTTGCGTCCACGCAATGTCTGGCGTGATCTGCTTTATGAATGGATGGTGGGCCGAGTTTAACTTATTCACTTTTTAGAGGCTTCATGGTGCTCACTTGGCATTTGCAGTTGAGGATCGGGACGTCCATCTCGAAGACTTTCTCCTCACAGCTTATCACAACATCCAAAGACGACGTTGCACTGACGAGGTTGTAAACGAACTGATGCCGTCGTGAAAGACTACTGTCCCCAAGTCGATCATGACGATATCGCATGTCATTACAACTGTCCTCCGGTAACCACATTCCAACAGCAATGGTGCGCATGGCATGGTCGCCCCAACGGTGCAGCCAAAAGCCACCTATTGAGTCCAAGTACCTGCCAGGGATGCAGAAAGACAATCGGAGGGGTCGTCAGTACGGATCCGTTGCGGCATGAGATCTCTCCAAACGAATCGCCACACCAACTTTCGAACTGGCCTGAAGTAGTCTTGGTAGGGGTCAGACCTGAACCAATCCAGCTGCACGATCTCAATATCGTTCATGTAGAGCTGGTAGGTCCACTGAACATCTTCCTCTCTTACAAACTGTCTCAGAATCGGCGTTCCTCTCGGATCTATGCCTTTCATCTTCATGTACATCAAGGAATATTCCCAGAAGTGGCGAACAGCCCCTGGCAAGTCAGGCAGCAGGTGAGACCACGTGTAAACGTATCCACCTTCGTGCATTGCGGAAATAGGATCTGCGCTAACCTCCGCAGGGAAGTAGCCATCCGTATCCAGAGTCATCGCATACTGGAAATTCTGCAGGACCGGTTGCAAGAAGATCGTGCCACTTCGGAACCGACACATACCCCTGTATCCCAGAGACCACTTTATGTCGTCCAAAGCGGCTTTTCGTGAAGGATCATCCAGAATGAAGCTTGGTATCTCAAGGTAATCATCTACATATGCGAACCAAATTCTGTTCCTCGAAGCATTCACAATTTGCTGGCGGTGGATCTCAGAAAGCCCATCATTGAAGACCACCACGGGGTAATCGAAGCGCCGATTGAACCGCCGCCACAGACGAGGAAGGCTGTGCTGAATATCCTCGATGTCGGTGTCGTCATCTGATGTCAGGTAATGCAGCACGGCAGAGAAATTGCGTTCCGCGTCCCTTGTTCCTGAATCCACCTGCTCACACAACGGCCCTCGATATGGTGGAAAACATTCACAGAAACCTCTCACGCAGCGGCCTCGCTGCTCAGACTCCAAGAAGTATTTCATTCCGGGTATTTCGTCCAGCTGTTTCACAGCCCACTGCTTGAACACTTCCCTGCTGCTGCCTGGACCGGGCATCGTTCCAACCAGCACTTGATCTTCGGATGCCTCGTCCAATTTCTGCCAGTCCTCTCCATCTGTCTTCTCCGATGTTGAAGCCTCCTTCCCCTCACGGGCGAGCTCATTTTGGCGGCAGTCTGCATCTCCGGAGATCCAGCCACGCTCGGACTTGATCTCCGCCGGGCGTCCTCCAGTCCAAATCCAGCAGAGAGGCTGGCCATAAAGAGCGGTAGGATCATACGTCCAATAATTGCAAAGAGACGCCCTGCAGTGAGCTTCACACGCACCCACCGAGTCCTGAATCGTCTCTGAGACGTAGGGATCATTCCCCCAGCCGCGATGGTCTGGACGCACGCAACTCTCTTCAACCTCTGAGTAACTATCTCGATTAGCCAGGTGGGCTTGGCAGTCGAAGTTTCGTCTCTGAACTGGGATGCTTTGACCTCAGCAGGAGAACCAGCACTGCGCATGCATCTTCTGAAAAGCTTTCTCTGCTCTGTGAGGCCAAAGCACGGTCCAAGAAGTAGCAGATGATCTTCTCCTTTTCCCGTCTGGGCACAGCAGGATCTGCCTCGGCTCAGCTTGAATCGCTGGTGAGCCCTCTGCCACACATGACAAAGGCTTTAACAGTAGAAGCTCGTAGGCTCCAAAACCTTAAGGGAAGAGTCGAGTTAATCTTGGCCGGCGAAAGACAAAACTCGCGTCGTTAATACTCGATACCTGGCTCCCACCCTCCAGGCCAAGCGGCGAGACGACCCATGTCCTCAGAAGAAATCACGTGTGTTCAACAGCCCTCAAGCTTCCGACGTGTCTTTTGTCATTTCAGTACCCAGAGTCTGGCCCGGCTACCAGCTCCAGCTTTGAAAAGTAGCGGCTGCCGGTGGCGCAGTGCCAACCTGACTCGCTGAGGTGTCAAGGGCGGAACATGGAGGAACCATGTGGAACAGCAAGGCTTTTAGCGTCCAGCCATGCACAGTACTCATGGCCGTGGGCTGAGCCTCCCGCCTCTCAACCAGCTGGAGAAAGAAGAATCGGGATGCCTCTGCATCTGGTTCGGAGCGGAGTTGGGCGCTGCTTCTCTCTCTCACGTGTCACCTTCTTTCTGGACAGCTTGGAGTTGCTGACAGAGGACCACGGAGCAACAGCAGAGAACGCCGACACCCAACCAACGCACGGCAGAAAGCTGGAAGCAACGAGGCAAAAAAGAACAAAACAAAGATCAAAGCAGAAAGCTCGGTCCAGGGCAGGCAGAGACGAGAGAGGAAAAACGGCAGGGAGCAAAAGACACAACAAGTACAAGGTCTGAGAGCAAAAGATAAGGAATAAAGCGGAAGAAAAGGAGCCAAAACAAAAACGAACACATCCATAAGTAGGCAACTCAAAACACTGACAACAAAGCTAACGAGCAACGAGGCTCAACAGACACTTGCAAGCACCACAAAAACCAGAAAAGTTCAGACCGGGTCAGGCGCTGTTGACTTGTTTGAGGACGAGCCAGATGAGTTTGGATGTCCTTCCGCACATAGACAGCGTAGGCAGAGGAAACGTGGTGTAGAGTGTACCCTTGGCCAGACGAGATTTCTGCATCACCCGTATAGACCAAATTCTGTCAAAACTGATTTCCGCTGGACTGCCCTATTGTACCTCCCGAAGACCGTTTTTAGCAAAGATTCGGAACTTCTTCACACTCATGCGATCCAGCATGCTGTCGACAGCTGCCAACGAGCACTGCCCCATCCAAAGGGCCGTGGTCAGATAATCATCCATGGCATCATCACCGAAGCCATCTGCCAGATCTTCCACCGAATGCTGTACCCAGCCTTTTGCCAAGCGGGTATTACGCCATGCCGGCCGCATAATGTGCCACCATGCCTCATATCTGGGGAGCACCTCAAAGGGTGGAGGTATGAGTGGGTTGATCGGCACGACGAGAATCTTTGGCTGCAAAGGTGCGCCTGAGAAAAGATACTCGATGGCATGGCAGTTGTGGGTAGCAGGATGAAGAAAGAATACATCGGGCGCAGGTTCGGTGGACTGTCGCCACAGCACATCTAGCCTGTGAAAAAGGTGCTCAATAGACACTGTGTCGAAGTGGTGGCTGTCGTACGGCCGCAGCGGATCGATAAACTTGCTAATGGCTGCCTGCGATACATCGCCCAGCCGGCGGCCGGCAATACGAAGTTCGCCCTTGTAGGGAGGATGTATATTCACAGACCACACATACCCACCGTAGCCGAGCACTTCCAAACACAGACTCGGGTCGTAGTATATATCCGTTCCCGTACAGCTGAAGTTCTGTGCCCAAGCACCATCTGCCGTCGGCCTCACGGCAATGAAGGAGTGCGACAGATCCATCCTCGCGGCCTCAATCTGCTCCAGCATCTGCATGACAGTGGGGACGGGCTTGGACCCCCAGGGCGGCAATCGCCATCGTCTGGGCCACGCAATATCCGTGTCGCCGTCTCCAATGAACGGCGACAGGGACGCATCACACAACCGGCCCGTGGCACCCCCTTTGCCACCAGGGCCAAACAGAAGCCGAACGGCTTTCCCTCCTGTGGCCAGGGACTGGAGCACCGGAAAGGAAAGTTCTCCCAAAGCTTGGGGCGATCGTTTGCTGGGACGTGTCCCAGGCAGCGGATAGATGTAAGAGCTAGACGCCGAAGCTGGATCCGACTCGTCCAATGTAACACCGGATAGAATGACGTGGCTCTCATTGCTCTTGGACCTCAGTCGGACGTGGCATCCTCCGGTAGTGCTGTGGGCAGGCGTACCGACGGACGGTTATCAGGCGCAATATATATATATATATATATATATATATCTGCGAGCCAAGACACTCCAATGAGAGCACCTGGGAGAAGTCACGAAAGAGACTGCGCTAATATTGCGGCAGCTTGCATTCACAAATTTGCGTGTGCACATTATGCTGAGCTTGCCCAGGGAGCTTGCCTGCATGGCTGGGAAAAGGATCCGCGACGCCACTCGAGCAACGCACGTCCCATACGCCTCGTCCCAGTCGATACCTGTGGGCGTTTAATCACCCATGAAGTGAATTCAGCCCGTCGACCAAGAGCCCTAAACCTCAACAGTCCCAGCCGGCATAGTGCCGAAGAAGAGAGGATGTCCGAGATTCGACTCCTATATCCCACTGCGAACATATGACATTGTGCTTGTCAGTCTAATTGCTCGTATGCCCATATGATATAAAAAAGCACGAAGCGTGCAGCAGGCCGGCCTGACACTTGCTGGCGGGGACCGTCGAAGACCAATGTTGCCTTAGCAAGCCCTGAAGCTGTTCTCTTCAAGTTCATGTGTATCATCTAGTTGGCGTTAATGTCTAAACGCTCGGTCATCTGCGTATGGCTAGGGATGCGCATACTATCGCAAGAACTCATACATACACTAGTTACTAGTTTGTAAAACTTCGTTAGCCTTGGCTCCGACCCACATTCCCCAAGAGTCTGCCAAGTGCGATCCAGCCACCGCATAACTCTTGGCTTCGCGGAGGTAGCTTTGCGAGGCCACCAGGAAGTCTCTCCCACCCTCTCCGATGAGAAGCTCCAGATCTAGCTGCAGGTTGTTCAGCCTGATTCAGCATATGTTAGCAGACGAGCATCCCAACAAGCAATGATCTCGAAACTTGGCGTCCCTCCGACTATAGCCACAGAATGCACAAGGTTCCAGGAAACCAACGGGAGCCCGGCCAAACTCTCTCTATTCAGTTCCCCGAGCCATGCGCACAGGTCGACACACATGGGCATGGTGAGCCAAAGCACTTCTCAACAAGCTGTAACTGTGAGAAAGCCATGTCGAGCTCGGCTGGATCTGCACAAACTTGTGGGCACAGGACATAGCACCTGAGTCCGTTCTTGCCACTCAGACTGGCTGATATGGGCCTTGCACGTATCGGGGCCCGTGCGCAAATAGCCGGAAAGCGTCTGCAATCTCCTGCGAGCAACAGAAGCACCGGGGCAAGCTACAGCAGACTATTGAACCAAGCCACCAGGAAGTCCAGTGCCACGGCATTGAGCTGAAACAGCCGGATGTGCTCCGGAACAATCTTTGGTCTCCCGTGTCCTCTGCAGTGAGAAACACTACGTACAAGGCCGACATATCCCACAATGACCCACAAGTTTCACCGACTCAAAGGTACGTCAGGATATTGCCTGCCCAGGGCCCCGCTGGTAGAGCTGCAAACAAGGAGCGGTAGCCACCATAGAATCCAAGAAAATGCTCCAGGGTGTCATGCAGTCCTTCCTCGGCTTTTAACTCCCTAAAATTCTGGTCCACGGTCCTTCTTCGTCTCAGTCTACTGCTTCACTGCTTTCACTGCCCTCATACGCCCAAGCGGCGTAGCTTCTGAAGAGCTGGCGATGGTGGGCGCAGCCAAGCGGCCGCAGCGCCACCGTGGGCGCCAAGCAAAGCTGGGCACAGCAGGATGCAAAAGCGGCGCAGGCAAAGGAAAATGCTGCGAGGTTGGGACGGTGCGGGCAAACTGTCCCGTGCTGGGGTCCTAGGCCTCTAGACTCGGAGAGTCGCATTCTGCAACCGATCCAGTGAGACGCATTCACACGCCGAAAAGGCTGCAACCCGACGACTCCGAGTAGAAACGCTCCACCTGCAGCCCAAGTCTCCCAAAGCACAGCGGCTTCCGGTCTGCGCATGCTCAGCGAACTCCGCACGCAAGGGCCGCAGAAGCCATTGCAGTTCAGGGCAGCGTTCAAGGATTAGGGCAGGGAGTCAGGACCATCAGATGCCACCAAGGCCTACAAACACGAAGATGCTCTGACACGGGTAGGTATGACGGACCTAGGTGTGAAAAGGAACTTGTTGAAATCTGCCTCTTGAACCGATGCGCACACCTGAAACGACACTCCACTTCAGAAGCGAGATCTTGACTCGGCTGGGCTGTGTGAACCTCGAACTTCCTGTTCTGAAGTTCATGGAGCCCGTCGAAGCTGGGTGCGGGACGAGACGATCTCCTTCTGGCCTCGGTTCTGCTGAGTTGGCCCGGCTCGCTCCAAGAACCTGTTCCCTTTCCCTCGACCCCCCCCGTCATGACGAAGCACAGAAAAGCTCGAGTCCTCTCTGAGACATTGAGAGGCAACAGCAAACACCACCCCTACCGATAAGCCTCGGTGTTGCAGACGCCATGTCAGGCGCACCGTTTGGCCACACCTCGTGCGCATCGCTGACTGCAACAGCTACGGCCAAGAGTCCAAGACGGCAGTGCGCCCTCGAATTTTAATACCGCTCGGAGGCGGCCGGCGATCTCAGAAAAAGCCCGGAGCAGGTCAAGCTGAGCACAAGACGAAGTCGCCCACGTAGTCTATGTCAGCTTGCACCTTTCTCAGGCAGGATTCTCTGACCCCTTCGTGCAGATACGTCACAGCGCGATGCAACACACGCTTTGGTGCCTGCGCGTTTGCGCGGCCTCTTGCTGTAAAAATCCACAGCAGCACGTAGACAACAAACAAGATTATGATGGACTGCCTTCGCGCACAGCAGCGAGCAATCACACAGACTCGGTCATAGGGTGAATCAGTCCCTGCGATCCCGAGATTCGGGCACAACAAGCACACCTTCCCATGACTCCCTCAGCTCAATGAACTCCTTGTCAGTGCAAAGGCCTGCCCCGCGAGAAGGATGAAGAAGCCCATGCGAGTGAAGACTCTAGTCACTCTAGTCTCATCCCTCATCCTGTTCTATGCCGTAGTCCTGCACGAGTCTTGCGTCGGAACAGATGCGAAACTGGGACAGCTGCTAATGCAGAGCGCGATGGAGGTGATTTTATCAAAGGAGGCCAGGACCACCATGAGCAAACTACGACCTGGAAACCATGCGAGGCTACAAGATCATTCTCTGTGAACGAAAGGCAGATCTGAGGCACCCAGCTTAAACTTTTGATGTAAGACTGCTGGGACCTGTGCCACCGGTGGATGTCCCAAAATCAAATCCTGGGCAACTACGAAAAAATTGAGCGCCAGGCAGGAGGCAAGCATAGGAGCTATCTTCATCGGGTCCTTGGACCCATTGGGTGTGCACTGGTAGGCGTGGACTACTCTTGCGACAGCGCGTGCACCGTGTGCTATCTCGTTTTTCGGCAGCTCAGTGGAGTCGCGAAAACTACGTCTGCGAACCTCCTCGCACTAACGAAAATCGCAAAGTCCTCTTTCTTTGAAGAAGATTCACCCATCTCCGACCCAGGCCTCAACCCCGCAGTAGCTCTCCCTTGAAGGAGTACTTGACGGGACTCAGAAGATCCCGCGCCAGTTCCGCAGATTCTGAGATTTTTAAGACGTCGCCGGACCTAAGAGCATCAAGGCACCGCCGCGTGCTCGGCTAGCTCGGCTTCCGTCGCAAACCAACCCGAAAGCCGAAAGGGGTGGTTGCACATGGAAGCACGTTGACAAAAGACTCAGGCAAAAAGAGTGCCCACACTAAGTTGGCTTCCGTTTGGGACTTCGGATTTTGGCTGCCCAGCCACTGGACAGGAACCGGCGTGGGCGACATGAGCGCCAGCAGCGTAGGCCAGTGGCTCTTCTGATGCTCGCCGTTCAGCCCACGGGACTCCACCACAATCTTCCCGGCCTTGAGAGTTCCGTGGCCCACACAAAATTTGATGCAAGCGGCTTCTTGAAGCTAGGCGCTGGATCCAAGATCAATCGAGGCCATATAGCCATGCCGGAGAAGCTTTCAGCTGTTTGCTTTGCCAGAGGCCTGTCATGTACTAGCAGACTGCACAGCCTACGGCGCAACATGAGACGTGCAACACAGCCTGGCAGAATCAGCCTTTGTATCTTCTTTGGTCGTCAACGCCTCGTGCGCATGGATCCTCTCTATCTGACCGCGAAAGGCTGTGTACTGTGCGCGTTGAGGCACCTCAAAGTACTGGTCATAGTTGGCTCGGATGCGATCTTCCATCACCTTGAAGCTCAAAGGTTTCTGCTCCCAGCGCCCAGCTGGCAGCTCTCCCTCACCAAAGCGGATCTCCTCCAGAACCTCACAGGTTAGGTGCAGCATGGTTGGATCCGGATTCTCTCTTGCCAGGCCTGAGGATCAGAGATCAACTCCAATGTACGGTCCCGGGGGTTCAGGGTCAGCGGCTGGCCCTGGAGCTTCTCGAACCTTCAGCGGGAGGGCACAAGAAACACAGGCCTGCTACCGAGATAAGTGCCCCCCGTTTCTTCCAATCAGAGCGACTTTGGAGGAGCCAGCACGGGGTGGAGGGCATAGCTGACAGGAGCAGTCCAAGTCTGCACGATGGCAGGAATGTAATTCTCCGGGTTGTTGGGGTCCTTCATGTGCCGCTTCTGAGCATCCTCGGGTCCACCGAAGGACTCTTGGGCTTGACGTGCGAGCCAAAAGCCTAAGACCCTTAACTTCAGCCGGCCTGCCTTCATAGAGGCCAGAATGTTCTCCTGCGGCTTTCACAGCGAAAACGACGCGACACTGCAAAGGCAAAGCTCGTGTCGTAAAACTCGGGAAGGAGTGCCATCAATTCAGGGCCTGGCTCGGAGGAGCCTCGTGGCATGTCTAGTACTAGTAGCTGGAAGCATGGACAAGCCAGAATGTCTTGTTGTGGTATGACAAAAAGCTGACAGCCACAGCATTGCAGACTGAGTTTGCCAGAGCTCAACCAAACTGTCCACATGCATGTCCGGATCTTGCGCCGTTGAGGTCAAATAATCACTCTTGAGATGGGCGAACGTTCGGATCTCCTGCGTGGCAAAGGCTCCGACGACCTCTGCCAACACAAGGTCCACCTTCACGAGAAGCAAGTAGGCACCAGACTTGCCTTGTACAAGGCTAGAGTATCTAAATTGTTAACTTTTCACCTCGGTTCCCTTCAGTCAAGTCATGATAGGTGTACTGACGACATAATTCTGGCTACCCTCCATGAGCTGCTGCTTCAGGCCAGTGGAGCGTGACTTACCTGACTTCAATCATCAAACAACGGGAGAAGTTAAGGTCTCGGGCGGGTGTGCGCGATCCTGCAGCGAAGCCGCCTTTTCTGGGAGGGTCACCGCAGTCGAGAATCCATCGATCACCTCTCTAACTGGATGGCTCTGAAGCTCTGACAGTCTGACAGAACACCGGCATCGGTCGATTTGGAGACCCCGGCCCGCGCCTCGATCACGCCTTCGGGAATATCCTCCTGCTCTAAGAGAAAGGCCCGCGCTCTGTCGGCAGCCTCTGGGTTGCCTTCAACAGCATAGACCTTCTTTGCACCAGCCCTAGCGGCCACAGTAGCGAACAACGCGAAGGGGCCGGTCCCAATGTCCAGCACTGTCATGCCATCACGGCCCTTTACTCTTTCTTGGATAGCCTTGATGAACTGAGGTGTCCGCCGAGTGTCATCCCGTTCAGCGTTGTACTGCTCTTCGTAGAAACGCAGAAATTGTACACCATCCTTCGCTGGCCAGCTTGCCGAGAGCTGTGGAGCATCCTCTTCAGCTTCAGCCGGCATCGGAAACGATCCTGCTGTGGCAAGGCCTGCAGGAGCCAGGCTGATAACATGCCTTCGGCTTGCTGTCTCCTGCTCGGCTTCAGCGCCTCTCTGCGCTCTGTGCCCAAGCGGCACCAGGAAAGTGGTGATGTGGCGGCTGGCAAGTAGCCCGGCAAATGCGAGAAACAAGTGCCGAAAACTTGCCCTGCTTGGCTTGTAACGCCTCATCTCAGCGGACCGGCACCGGTCCCCCCTGGTGTGAAGTTGATCCTCGCGGCCGTCCGCTGCTCGCCCAAGCTCACCTATCCATGGCGCGACTTTGGGCCGAAAATGCCAGCAGGCGAGAATCGGAAGTCTTGCACACGACGTTCCCCATATACAGCCTATACCGACTGCCTAGTCTTCACCTGCCTGGCGCTCATGCACTGTAGGTTCCGCACTCCAAGCTTTCAGAGCCTGGGACACGCAGGAGGGGGTCTAAACACCAAGTCTAAGTGCTCACCCTGCCGCTCCCGCTCAGTACTGCAGCACCGGCCGTGCACGAACTCCATGAGCATGTCCCGAGAAGCCAAGGCAACCACTGACGGACAATTTAAACTCAGCCACAGAAGGCCCCGCCTCCTTCTTTCCGAAACTGTCTGATGTCATGCCTTGGTAAGGGGCCCCCAGCCCTGGACAGTCTCTTTAACAGCAATACAGATCGACTGCACAACAACAACATCAACAACTGATGGGGTTGCTTCGGTTAGATTTGGCTAGCTGTGCTGTGCATGGACATCCAGTTCAACATTTCGGTAAGATTCCATGATAGCTGGTGGAAGGGGGAGTAGTTGAATACTAGGCCGCCTTCGCCCCTGCAGACCTTGCGGGCCAAGCACTGCAACTGCAAGACACGGCTCTCGAACTGGACGTCCATGGGGTAAAATCTACGGTACAATGCCAAACCGGAGATAGGCAATTGTCGAACTTCCGCAACAACCAAGCCTTGGACCTCTCGTGAAACGTCGTCCGGACTGCCCAGAAACGCCGTGAAAATGAGACCTGTCACGCACTCATGCTACCAAGCAGGATCTGCAGCATGTAAAGGTTCAAGTGCGGACTGTGCCAGGCTGGCGCATGTGACCGGGCTGAATTCAATGAAAGTTGTGACCTCGGAGATGTACACAGAAGCTGCTTGCTCTTGAGCGGGGCATGCAACATCTGGAAACAGAAGTGGTCCAAAGTCAGCGCCACGGACAATGCAATGCCAGTAAGCACTCTCAGAAAACGGAATGCTGACACCCTTGCTATCCACAAAAGTGCTCGTTTGGAGCACCTCACCACCGCCACCGAAGCTGACGTGTCTGAAATGCAGAAACATCCTGTAAACGTCAACATGTGGACCAGCTTTCGGGTCTCAATGGAACACTGGTTCTCAGATCTGCGATGTTCGGCAGCCACTCCTGCAGGACATGGAAGGTTTCACGAACTACAATGAAAGACTTCAGATGTCCCCGGTAAGTCAGCTACTTTTTTGGGACTCGCATGCGACAGAGGAGCCATGGAAGGTCCAAGTCAGGCCAACCAGCTTTGGCCGCTACATGGAACGACAGGGCTTTGAGCCCCAATTTACCAGCAAGTAAATCCCGTCAGCTGGCAGCTGTGGCAACACGCAGGATGCTGTTGGCAATGCGTTCGGATATGTAAATGCCCGCTTGCTGTGCTCGCTTTAGCACAGGTATGGCCAGCTCACTTCGACCCCGACGGTGGGCCTGCAAGAGGAAAATTTCGATAGAATCTCTGGGGAGGCCGACCGGACAGCTGCTGAGGAAAGCATCGTCCAAACACCTCAGTCAAATCACCGTCTGCTCATTGCGGCATCCCCTGACACCTAGACTTGAACCAGACACTAGAATACAGAGTAGTACTTGCTGAACTGTAGGATTTGAGCCACTAAGGATCACTAAACAAGGTTAAGATGGTGCAGTCTTGTAGTCTTTGTCGTCAGGCGGCCTTGCCGCCAGATCCAGGTCTCCTTGCTGAAGGCTGCCACTCAGCAACATCTTGTACAATGAAGCATCTGCGTGGCATCCAGCCGCAGACATTTGGTCGTAGATCTGAAAGGCCTGTGCCAGCTCGCCCTCTGCCACGCACGCTGCCGCAAGGCCTCCGTACACGGGAGCGTCAAGTTTGAGGCCGTACTTGGGAGGAAGCTCCCTGAAGACTCGCATTGCAGCCCCCAGGTCACCACAGCGGCTGTGCAGGCGTATCAGCAATGCTAGCGTTGTCGAGGAAGGGGCAATCCCGGTTTCTTCCATGTCGCTGAGGATTTGCTCGGCCAGCATTGGCAACTGCCTGTGTGCGCAAGCCTCCAGCACTGCATGGAACGTTGCGATGTCTGGTGCTACACCTCGTCGCCGCATCTGACCCAACATCTGCACACTACTCTCCAAGTCGCCTCTGGAAAGCTGCCCACGGATCAAGCAGGCGTAAGTGGAAGAGTCTGGCTCTACGTCTTGCAACGTCATGTCACGAATCACACTTGTCGGAAGATCTGGATCATCGCTTTTGGCCAGAACGGTGAGTAAGGTGTGGTACAAGCCCCTGGAATATTCCATGTGCTCTTTGGTCGCACAATACAAGTCCCAAGCTAAGGTTGCAGTACCTTGCGCACTTGCCACCTTCAAACTCTTCATAAGGAGGGCTGGTGCTCGGCTGAAAAGCGAGAGCTCCTGGACGGCCTCTTGAAAGGCCGCAGTCGACCCAGCAATATCGCCAAGCTGTATGGATGAAAGCACTTTCTTGCAAAATGCCTCCTCTGCAGCGCTCACACGCCTCGTTTCCTCCGTAACGGAGGAGCCATGTTCGCCCTGGTCTCGAGAGTCCGGGGCCGCTTCGTGGTCCTTCGTGCACTGAACGGCCTCCCTTTTGAGAAGGCGGCCAGCCACAGCCCGGATCACGAAGAAGTTGAGAAGTACCAAGAGGACAATCAGCGAGTCCCAGCCTTAGTTCACATTTGCAAAGGGTGCGTCTTTTCGTGTCTTGCCCAGCCTCTAAAGAGCTGAAGTTGCCGACAAAGAACCAAGACCTACCAACGGGCTCCGTGAGGTGGCGGAGCCCATGAAGGTCGAAAGCTGATGAATCGCCATCAGCAAGAGCTGCGTGGAAGGGGTAATAGGTATGAAGCTACGTTGAGAGCAGAAACAGCTCCGAGCACGAAATGCATTCAGTATCAGTCACATGTCTACCTCACGACGACCACATCACGCATGCCGTCAGGCTTACAGTGCTAGCACTCTGAAGCAAAAAGTCAGGCAACTCATCTGGCTGCCCCTTGTGTCCCGGTCGCCCGTGTGTTCTTCTGCGGCATCTACGGGGCGGCGAAGCCATTGCACACGTCCCTGCTGTATTGGTCTACCAGGCGACCTTAAAGCCATGATTCTGAAAACAGGCTGGCTGGAAGCAACGCCGCAAAGTCTGTGTTGACGAGCATTCGGATGTGCAGAATGCTGGGTCGTCCTTCCTATGAAAGCCAGATCGAGCCGTCCCGATTCCATGCCAAACTAATCTGAAGCGGTGCACTGAGAACTTCACACAGATGACCGGCAGCCGCGATTGAGGCTGGGTCTCTCATCTAGCTCCTGCAGCGGCTTTCACAAACCCGATTCTCCAGCCGAGCCTGTACTTGACCAAAGAAACGGCTAGTCAATGCAAGAGGTCCTCTTTTCCACAGCGAGTAGAGTTGTAGAGTTTAAGTTTATGAGCCACCGGGCATGGCCTAACATTAAACAGTTGGTGAGACAGTGTCAATACTTGGTTGCGTCGATCTAGAAAGCATGGAGAAGGAAGCCATGCTGCCTCGTATTTGCACACCGGACAAATCATTTCTGCGCGGCTTCTTGCAGTCGCCTCTGCTCCTCCTCTTCTTGTGGTGTCAAGTGCCTCTTGGGCCGGGGCTTCCGAGTAATCTGACCCGCTGGACTAATGGAGACATCCTTGAATTCGATATATAAAGCGTAAAGCACGAGTGCCGCCACAACGCGGACACCCCACACTTCGAAGGTGGGTCGCTCGTAGAATTCCGCATTCGGGCCCTTGTCCTGCGGCTTCTGCTCGGGAGTGCTTGTCCCTTCCTTCCAACCAGGTGGCCGCCATTTCTGGCCGCCAATCGGTAGAGCCCCTGCTGACATGTGAGATCGGGATCCAGATAAACCTCGAAATGCTGCCCCCGCCGAAGGCCCTGATGCGCCAGCACTGGCACGTGGCAGGTAGCTCTTAGGAAGGTGGATCGGCATAGATTTGCCATCTGAGTCCGTCACTATGTGTTTGCTTGGCGTGCCAGGAACTGCTGCCTCTTCTCCGACTGCATGGGGAAGAGCGGCTGTCTGATTGTTCAACATCTCCTTCATGACTCTCGAAACACTTGGCTTGCTTGGATCACATCCTGGTGTTCGCATCTGTGGGAAACTGTCTTTCATGACCTCAGCTCGGCGCGTCTGCATGACAGAAATGACATCGAGGCTTCAGGGCCTTTCCGAAAGTCTAATAAAATAGAAACTCCCCTATGGCTGGGGCTAGGAGGTGCGTTCACGACAACTTGCTGCAGATCTCTTGCAGCTTGTGTACCGCAAGGCGACGAAGCCCGGCTCGCAGCGCCATCTTTTGGGCGCCAAGACTCTACGACACGTAGAGACTAAGCACTGGGAGGAACCACTGATTTCTCCCAGTGGAGTAGCACTGGGCTAGCATTGCTAGCTGGTTTTGCTGTGAATGCAGCTTTACCCATGATGTGAGGCTGAGGGGCAAGCTGCACATGTCCGAACTGCTTACCACCCCTCCAACTTGGCACAATTGAAGCGACAGTGCACGGTGCGACAACTTCCCATATGCTTGAGCGGAACGTGCAATCTCTTGCAAAGTCGGATTCCTGCCGAGAATCAAAGAGTTTCAGAAAACAAGTGCGCGGATTTTTCCCCCACTGTAACCTACTATAACATAACAGGCTACAGTCAACCCGCTTGCTCCCTGGCATGCCTCCGACTCTTCATCACCGAGAAGCTGAGCCTCAACGATTCTACTGAATAGGCAAGGCCGACAGTAGAGGATAATGCAATCTATATTAATGAGTATGATATATATATATATATGCTACACCCCCCTCAAGGATCCACCGTTTTGGCTGTTTCAGAAGACTGGATCAACCATTTTAGCTGTTTCTGAAGACTGTGAAGCAAACGAAGCATTTATGAAATGTACAGCAAATCAGTGTGATGCATGCTGACTGCCACTACTACTACTACTACGACGACGACGACTACTTCTACTACTACTACTATAACTACCACCACCACCACCACCACCACCACCACCACCACTACTACTACTACTACTGCTACAACTCCTACCATCACTTATAGTACAAAGGCTAGTACAGTAATCTCATTCATATTCACATCAATGTAAGTTTGATACTAGTACTAGTTAGTAGCATATATATGTATACACACATATACCGCTGCATAATAATATTTTTGCTACTGAAATGAAATACCAAAACA